GGTAGGAAATTTACAAAATATCTTCATGGAACATGATATTTACTTAATATCCTAATGATTTTTGCCATAAAAGAAAAATCTATAATTTTGACCGATACAATGTTTTTTTTGGCCATTGCTACAAATATACCCCAGCGACTGAAGACTGGTTTTGTGGTCCAGGGTCACATATGATCTAAACGTGTCTGCCCCTGTGAGGCGATCTCCATGTGAAATAAAACTGATCATTTCGTTATGTGTGAAACATTTTAGTATATGACAATTTACTAATTACACTTTTAAATGTCATAAAAAATAGCTTATTCTAGTAATCCAAATGAGTTGCTTCTCTCTTTGGTTATGCTATGATTTGCTGTAAATCACAGTTGTCTTCAAAACAAACAAAACATGTATTATCTTTAAAAGTGTCATAATAGATTTAACTTTTCCACTCAAATATTCACTTTTCACCTCCAGATGTGGACCACTGTCTTGATTCAGATGTGTGTGATCATATTTGTGTCCATATCAATGGATCTCTTGCGTGTGAATGTCAGGATGGGTATGTGCTGACCGCTGGGACTGGAGAGTGCAAGGCTACAGGTGAGAGGAGATTTTATTTTAGATTTTACTTTTGAGGAAGTCGTGGCCTAATGGTTAGAGAGTCGAACTCGTAACCCAAAGGTTGTGGGTTCGAGTCTCGTACCGGCAGGGATTGTAGGTGGGTGGAGTGAATGTACAGCGCTCTCTCCTACCTTCAATACCACGATTGAGGTGCCCTTGAGCAAGGCACCGAACCGCCAACTGCTCCCCGGGCGCCGCAGCAAAAAATGGCTGCCCACTGCTCTGGGTGTGTGTTCACGGTGTGCGTGTTCACTGCTGTGTGTGTGCACTTTGGATGGGATAAATGCAGAGCACTAATTCCGAGTATGGGTCAATTCTGAGTAATTACTAATTCCGACAATTTACTAATTACACTTTTAAATGTCATGAAAATACGGCCAAGCATGCTTGGCCACATGTCACTTTCACTTTGTATGTGTGTATTTGGGCCAGTGCCAATTTAATATTATTATTTTACTATTACATTTATTATTATATTTTGAAATAGCATTTTTATTTTAGTTTAGTGCGGTCAACGATTAATCGCGATTAATTACATCCAAAATAAAAGTTTTTGTTTGCATAACATATGTGAGTGCACTGTTTATATTTATTATGTATACTGTATATAAATACACACACATGCATGTATATATTTGTATTGTATATATGTATTTGTATATATAAATGTATTATGTATATATATATATATATATATATATATAATATAAATTATATGAATGTAAATATTTTCAAACTTTATACTGCATGTGTGTGTATTTATATACATAATAAATATACAGAGTGCACACACATACTGTATATTATGTGAACAAACTTTTATTTTGGATGCGATTAATTGCGATTAATCATTTG